CCATCGACACATGAATAGATAAACATAATGTGGTATGTAAGTACAATAAAATATTAGCCAATATTAGTATTGATACTTGCTATAATGTGGATAAACCTCAAAACCATTATGCTAAGTAGAAGAAGGCAGACAAATATCTAGAGTAGGTAAATCCATAGAGACAGAAAGCAAATTGGTTGCCAGGGGCTGAGGGGAGGTGGGAGAATGGGGATTGATTGCTTGATAGGTGCAGGGCTTTCTATGGTAGTGATAAAAATGTTTTGGAGCTAAATAGAGGTTGTGGTTGCACAATATAATGAATGATACCACTGAATTGTGCACTTTAAAATGGTTAATATTATATGAATTTTGTCTCATTTAAAAAACAAAGAAAAAGAAGCACTTGAAGGTCTTTTCTGGTTCTGTTACTGTTTTATTATTATAAACTATTTTACATTTTTCAAGCTACTACTTACTAAGGTTCTATAAATGAGATTTTAGCATATCGTATTTATAAACATACATATATACCTATATATACATATGTATGTGCTTGTTTTATGTGTGTGTGTGTGTGTGTGTATATAGTGTTTTCAAAATTATGTTCTACAGACCTGTATTGTCTTACAAAATATTAATAGATTTTCATTATCCTTCATAAACATAGATGCAAAATTCTAACACTACTCAATTTCAAGAATTATTATAAATCAGCAGTAATCAGGACAATGCAATAGACAGAAAGATACACATACAAAAAAACAAAACAGAACAAAAACCAAACCCATTGCATCGAGTTGATTTTGACTCATAGCGACCCTATAGGACGGAGAACTACCCCCATAAGGTTTCCAAGGAGCAGCTGGTGGATTCAGACTGCTGACCTTTTGGTTGGCAGCTATAGCTCTTAATCATTGCACCACCAGATAGGCATAAATTAATGGAATAGAAGAGAGAATCCAGAAATAAATTTTTTTTGTAAGGGGGTGGGTAACAGCTTTGTGGAGAAACAATTTACATGCTACACAATTCCCCATTTAATGTGTACAATTCAGTGTTTTTTCAATTATTATTCACAGAATTGTGTGACCGTCACCACAATTAATTTTAGAACATTTTCATCAGCCCGAAAAGAAACCGTGTACTCTTTAGCTGTCACTTCTCAACCCCACCCCCACCCGCCACAATACTCCCCAGTCCTAGATAGCCACTAATCTACTTCCCGTCTCTATAGATTTGCCAATTTTGGACATTTCGTAGAAATGGAATCATACAAGATATGGTCTTTTGTGTCCATCTCCTTTGACTTAGCATAATGTTTTCAAGGTTCATTCATGTTGTAGCATGAGTTAGTACTTTATTTTTATGGTTGAATAATATTCCATTGTATGGATATACCACATTTTGTTTTGGCAGAAAATGGGGAGTGATTGCTAATGAGTACCAGGTTTTTGTTTGAGGTGGTGAAAATGTTCAGAAATTGATTATGATAGTATTTGCACAACTTTGTGAATATACTAAAAATCATTGAATCATACACTAATCAAATAGTATAGAATATGAATTATATCTCAGTAAAATTATTTTTTAAAAAAAGTGCTAAATGGTAGACGTAAATCTAAAAAACTTCTTAAAAAAAACACAAGAAAACCTTTGTGACTCTGGGTTTGGCAAAGATTTCTTTGATGTGCACCAAAAGTACAACCTATAAAAGAACAAATTGATGAATTGGACTTAATCAAAATTAAAAAGTAATGCTCTTCAGATTAAGACCATAGTCTCGTGGGACAACTTGGTTAATTGGCATAATACAGTTCATAAAGTTTATGTTCTGCATCCTGATTTGGTGAGCAGCATCTGGGGTCTTAAAAGCTTGCAAGTGGCCATCTGAGATACAACTGTTGGTCTCTACTCAGTCTGGAGCAAAAGAGAAAGAAGGAAACCAAAGACTCAGAGGTGAAATCAGTCTGCAGGACTAAGAGCCAGCATGAACCACGGTCTCATCTACCCTGAGATCAGAAGAACTGGATGGTGCCTGGATACCACTACTTCCCTTTCTGATCTGGGACACAATAGATGGACCCTGATGGAATGGGAGAAAAATGTAGAACAAAACTCACATTCTTAAAAAGTCTAGACTTATTGGACTGGTAGAGACTAAAGGAACCCCCGAGACTGTCGTCCAGAGATATGCTTTAAATTTTGAACTGAAACTACTCCCAGAGGTCACATTTCAGCTAAATAACAGATTGACTCATAAAATAAACAATGTCACCCATGAATACTGTGCTCCTTTAAAAAAAAATCATCTATATGAGTTGATGACAATGGGTATGTGAGACCAAATGGTCAACATTTACTCTAAAGCAAAGATGAGAAGGTAGTGGGGGGCAGGGAAACTAGATTAATGGAAATGTAACAACCAGAATGGAAATAATGAGAACGCTGACACATTGTGAAAAACGTAACCAGTGTCACTGAACAATTTGTAAAGGAATTGTTAAATGGGAACCTAATTTGCTGTGTAATCTTTCACCAAAAACACAATAAAATACTATTTTAAAACAAGTAATGATCTTCAAAGGACACTGTTAAGAGAATGAAAAGACAAGGTACATACTAAAAGAAAATATTTGTAGAGCATCTGATAAACATTTTAAAACCACTATACTCAGGTCCTTTCTAGATCTAACAGTTACAATTTTATTATTATAAATATACATTTTTAAAAAGACAGTACTTAGTAAGGTTCTGTAAATGAGAGTTTGGCATAATCACTTATTCAGACTTTGCCCTCTATACATCTGAATTAATGGTGTTTATATAGGAGCCCCGGTTGCACAATGGTTAGGAGCTTGGCTGCTAGAAAAGGTCCGCAGTTCGAATCCATCAGCCACTCCTTGGAAACCCTATGGTGCAGTTCTACTCTGTCTTATAGGTCAGTATGAATCAGAATCGACTTGACAGCAGTGGGTTTAGGTTAGTTATGGTAATTCTGTGTTTAACTTTATGCTGCTGAACTATTTTCCACGGCGACTGTACCATTTTACATTCCAGTTTCTTCACATCTGCCCAGCACTTGTTATTGTCCATTTTTTAATTGTAATTATTCTGGTGGGTATGAAATTGTATCTCATTGTAGTGTTGATTTGCATTTCCCTGATGACTAACTTTTTAAACAGATTTTTTGAGATACAGTTCTTGTGCCATACAATTTACCCATTTCAAATACACAGTTCACACAGATTCTTGCCTAATTACCCTGGCTAGAACCTCCCATACAATGTTGAATGCTAGCGGCAAGAGGGGGCATCGTTGTCTCATTCCTGATCTTAGGGGAAAGCTTTAAGTCTTTTACCATTAAGTATGATATTAATTGTGATTTTTTTTTTGTAGAAGCCCCTTATGAGGTTGTAGAAGTTCCTATGTATTCCTACTTGGTTGAGTGTTTCTATCATGAAAGGGTGTTAGATTTTGTCAAATGCTTTTTCTGCATCTGTTGAGATTACTGTGTATTTTTTTTGTCCTTTATCCTACTAATATGGTATATTACGTTGATTGATTTTTCGTATGTTGAGCTGATCTTACTTTCCTGAGATAAAGCACATTTGGTCAGGGTATATAATCCTTTTCTGTATGTTGCTGCATTCAGTTTGCTAATATTAATCTGTATTCTGTTGTTTTAATTTGCCTTTCTCTACTAACCAGTGATATTTAAGCATTTTTCATACGTATATCTTCCTTGATGATGTAGCTGGTCAGATATTTTGCTCATTCATATTGGGTTGTTGTTTTTATTATTAAAATTTGAGATTTCTTTATATATCTGGATACAAGTCTTTATCAGATATATGATTTTCAAGTAAATGTTCTCAGCTCTTGTTCTTTTTAGGAGCAAACATTATAAAGCCCAATTTATTAAGCTTCTCTTTTATGTATGTGCTTTTAGTATCAAAAACCAAACTTGTTGCCATCAAGTCGATTCTGAGTCAGGGACCTTATAGGACAGAGTGGAACTGCCTCATAGGGTTTCCAGGAAGTGGCTGGTGGTTTAAAACTGCCAGCTTTTTGGTTAGCAGCCGAGCTGTTAACCACTGAGCCACCAGGGCTCCCGCTTTTAGTACATATCTGAGAAATCTTTGCTTAACCAAAGGTCACAAAGATTTTCTCCTATGCTTGCTTCTAGAAGTTTTATAGTTACGGGTTTCCTTTTTTAATGCAATTTTACACACACATAATTTGTTACTTTTACTTCTGTGGGCTATAATTTATATATCTTTTTACAACTTATTTTGGTGTGTGTTATTTATTGGGTCACGGTATTTTCATGTTAGTACAGTTATTTCTTTTGAATAGCTGCGTAGTATTCCACCAAATAATGTAAGATAACTTATTTTGCTTTTCTTCTTTTAATGGACAGTTCATTTGTTTCCAGTTTTTTCCTATTGCAAATAATGCTCCAAGATTTATTTTAAATTTTCATTTGAATTTTAATTCCTACCACTTTATTAAGAGCTTTTATAACAAAAACATTTTATAATAAAAACTGTATTTTGAGGCATGCTTAAAACTTAAAATTTTCGATATGCAGTTCTCCTTTTCTTGTGCAAATCTATGAAGTAAATGTTAGGATAAAGTTGTTAGTTAACAATTGTTATTTAAAAATTTTTAAAATAGCTTCCTGATTTCTGCCATATCCTAGTGGATTATACTCCCTTTTGATTCAAACAGCAATAATAGTCATGTTTAGAAAGCTCTGATTTTACTAATGATTTCTCTGAATTCCTCATTTTATATGACTTATTCTATTTGCCTACCTCTTCCCACTTTTCAAGTCTCTGAAGAATCTGTTTGATTTCTGTAAGGAGATCATAATGCTACCTAGTTATTTAGATTTATGAAAGAACATTTCTGAGACATCCCATTTGTTGATTTTTTTTCTAAATTAGATGGTATAAATTGGGGGAAAAAAACTTAATGATTTTTCTTTTTATTGATGCTATTTCATTTTTCCTTTACAGATTCAAAAGCTTTGTGACCGAGTAGCTTCATCTACCTTATTGGATGATCGAAGAAATGCCGTGCGAGCTCTCAAATCACTGTCTAAGGTCTTTAACACTTGATAAATTATTAGGCTTATTAAGTTGGATATTAATTACTTTAATAACATTTTTTCTTTTTTATATGCAGAAATATAGATTGGAAGTGGGTATCCAAGCTATGGAACATCTTATCCATGTTTTACAAACAGATCGGTAAGTCTCTTATTTTTTTCCCTGATTTTTCTTAAAATTTTAATGAATTTTAGTTTTACTGTCACAGTTTCAGAAATGATTACATTTTAAGGCTGCTAAGTTTTTCATTTCAGTTGTTATTTCGATAAATACTTATTGCACATCTACTACTATTGTGCTAAGCTGCTAAGCATCAGGACAGACATGATCTCAACCCTTAGGGAGTTGATAAGCATCTGGGGCTACCCATTATATAAAAATAAGGTGAATTTTGCTTAGGGAACATTGAGTTTATGTTAATGGTGGTGGAATGATTTGGAAAAGGATAGTGAGAATGGTTGCACAACTCAAAGACTGTAATCAATGTTACTGAATTGTATATGTAGAAATTGTTGAGATGGAATATATTTTGTTACATATATATATTCACCACAGTAAACTTTTTTTAAAAATGGGATGAAATAACTGCTAATTTAAGGCTTAAGAGTTTGGGTTTAAATTGGGCAAATGAATGTTTGATATTCACTTAGATACAGATATACAGTATATAGATCATATATATAGATATGCTGTTTTATGCTCTAGTATACATATTATAAGGGAGCCCTGGTGGCACACTGGTGAAAGCGCTTTGCTGCTAACCAAAAGAGACATTTCAAGCCCACCAGCTGTTTCTCTGGAGAAAGATGTGGCAGTCTGCTTCCATAAAGATTTATAGTCTTGGAAACCCTATGAGGCAGTTCTGCTCTGTCCTATAGGGTCACTATGAGTCGGAATTGACTGGATGGCAGTGTGGTATGTGTTATGGTATATCAGTTATCCAGACGTGCCTTTTTTTGGGAAATAAACTGCACTAATAAGAGTGAAGTGTTAAATCTGAGCTTGTCTTAAAAGATCAGTCAGCCTATTTTTAGATGTTTCAGCTTCTCTTTAAGAGATTTTTATCTGCATGTTTGGTTTTAATTAACAACTGTGCATGGATAACTTTCAGATCTTAACCTCTAGCTGAATATGTCTTAACCCTTTTGTGAACCAATTATTTTCGCTTTGAATTTTTTTGTTGAAACCATGTGTTTTCATTAATGGAAGCATGTTGAATCATTGAGTGTGTCTGAATTTTTGGTAGGTAGTATGGATTTTTTTTCTTGTCCCTTCCCACAAGCCTACCCTAAGTGTTTAGTGGTACATATGAGGAAACCCCTAATTATACCATGGAGCCCCCACTAGTCTATCAATACATACATATGTGTAACAAATAAAAATTTTCAGAATTTCTATTTTTCTACCTTAAATCCACACGCTTCATACAGTACCCTGTAAAAACAGTAATTTGCAGCACACACTCATTTCTTTGGTTTCAAACAGTCATAAAGGCCCCTGCCTTGTGGCAGCACACACTGTCAGTGGTGCAGCAGCTTCCCAATAAACCTTCAGAGGCAGAAAAAGTACCCTAGAGCTTCCTGTGAGCACAAAAGGGTTAGAGTTTCAGCAGTACATTGGCCATTTCTACCATACCAGAATCTGTCACAGGTTTCTCCAGTTGAAAATGTTCAAAGTGAATTTATCGCTAGTCCTCATGCTCCAATCCCACCCACCCCTTCAACTGTCTTTTGCCCTGAGTGCATCCCAGTTGATAGCACCTTCCTATTCAAGCTAGAAACTGGGTGATTCATGCTGAACTCATCTCTCTCTTAACCCATTATGCCTACTTAGGCAAAAAAAAAAAACCTGGAATCAATGATTTTCTCTCCATTTCTGTTGTTGGTCTTACATCATAGTGTCTGTATTAGTTATTTTTTGCTGCATAACAAGTTACCTTAATACTTAGTGGATCAAAATAAGAAACATTAATTATCACAGTCTCTGTGGGTCATAAATTCAGGAGTGGCTTAACTGGGTAGGTCTCTTATAAGGTTTCATTCAAGATGCTGTCCAACAGTGCGGTCATCTGAAGTCTTGACTGGGGCTGGAGAATCTGATTCCAAGATGGCTCACTCAGATTGCTATGAGCAAGAGGCCTCAGTTCCTCATCAAGTAGTTCTCCATGGGGCTGCTTGGTCGTCCTCATGTTATGGCAGCTGGCTTTTCCTGGAGCAGCTTATCCTAGATAGAGAACAAGGAAGAAGCCACAAGCCTTTTATGACCTTGTCTCAGAAGTCACATACTGTCAATTCCACCAGTCTATTCTTAGAAGTAACTTACTAAGTACAGTCTACACTTAGGAGGATAATTAGTTTCCACCTTTTGAAAGGAGCTATATCAAAGAATTTTGGGATGTAGTTTAAAGCATCCTCCACCTCCAAACTGTATTCTTTGTCTCGGATATCTAGTCCCACCATTCAGCTTATGTTGTTGTTGTTAGGTGCCATCGAGTTAGTTCCAACTCATAGTGACCCTGTGTACAACAGAAGGAAACACTGCCCAGTTGTGCGCCATCCTCACAGTCATTGCTGTGCTTGATCCCATTGTTGCAGCCACTGTGTCAATCCATCTTATTGAGGTCCTACCTCTTTTTTTGCTGACCCACTACTTTACCAAGCATGATGTCCTTCCCCAGGGACTGGTCTGTCCTGATAACGTGTCCAAAGTAACGTGAGATGAAGTTTCGCCACCTTTGTTTCCAAGGAGCATTCTGGCTGTACTTCTTCCAAGACAGATTTGTTTATTCTTCTGGCTGTCTATGGTGTATTCAGTATGCTTCGCCAATACCATAATTCAAAGGCGTCAATTCTTCTTAAGTCTTCCTTATTCATTGACCAGTTTTCATATGCAGATGAGGTAGTTGAAAATACCATGGCTTGGATCAGCACACCTAAATCCTCAAAGTGACATCTTTGCTTTTCAACATTTTAAAGAGGTCTTTTGCACCAGATTTGCCCAAGGTCATCTGATTTCTTGACTGCTTCTTCCCTGGATGTTGATTGTGGATACAAGTAAAATGAAATCCTTGACAATTTCAGTCTTTTCTCCATTTATCATGATATTGTTTATTAATCCAGTTGTGAGGATTTTTGTTTTCTTTATGTTGAAATGTAATCCATACTGAAAGCTGTAGTCTTTGATCTTCATCAGTAAGTGCTTCAAGTCCTCTTCACTTTCAGTAAGCAGGGTTGTGTCATCTGCATATCGCAAGTTGTTAATGCGTCTTCCTCCAATCCTGATGCCATGTTCTTCTTCATATAGTCCAGCTTCTTGGATTATTTCCTCAGCACACAGATTGAATGAGTATGGTGAAAGGAAACAACCCTGACACACACCTTTCCTGATTGTAAACCACACAGTATCTCCTTGTTCTGTTCAAATGACTGCCTTTTGATCTATGGACAGATTCCACATGAGTGCAATTAAGTGTTCTAGCATTCCCATTCTTTGCAATTTTATCCATAATTTGTTATGATCCACACAGTCGAATGCTTTTGCATAGTCAATAAAACACAGGTAAACATCATTCTGGTATTCTTTGCTTTTAGCCGGGTACCATCTGACATCAGCAGTCATATCACTTGTTCCCATATCCTCCTGTGAGTCCACCTTGAACTTCTGAGAGTTCCCTGTCAGTGTACTGCTGCAAACACTTTTGAGTGATCTTCAGCAAAATTTTACTTGCACGTGATATTAATGATATTTTTTGATAATTTCCACATTCTGTTGAATCACTTTTCTTTGGAATGAGCACAGATATGAATCTCTTCCAGTTGGTTGGCCAGGAAGCTGTCTTCCAAAGTTCTTGACAGAGAGTGAGCGCTTCTAGTGCTGCATCTGTTTATTGAAACGTCTCAATTGGTATTCCATCAGTTCCCTGGAGCCTTGTTTCTTGCCATTGCCTTTAGTGCAGCTTGGCCTCTTCCTTCAGTACCGTTGTTTCTTGATCATATGCTACCTCCTGAAATAGTTGAACGTCAGCCAATTCTAGTTGGTACAGTGACTCTGTGTATTGCTTCCATTTTCTTTTGATACTTCTGTGTCATGCAGTATTTTCCCCGTAATATCCTTCAGTATTGCAACTTGAGGCTTGAAAAAATCTTCAGTTCTTTCAGCTTGAGAAATGCTTAGTATGTTCTTCCTTTTTGGTTTTCTAACTCCTGGTCTTTACACATTTCCTGATAGTACTTTACTTTGTCTTCTTGAGCCTCCCTTTGAAATATTCTGTTCAGGTCTTTTACTTCATCATTTCATCTGTTTGCTTTAGCTACTCTACACTCAAGAGCAAGTTTCAGAGTCTCTTCTGACATCCATTTTGTTCTTTTCTTTCTTTACTGTCTTTTTAATGACCTTTTGCTTACTTCATGTATGATGTCCTTGATGTCATTCCACAACTTGTTGGGTGTTCAGTTATTAATGTTCAGTGTGTCGGATCTATTCTTGAGATGATCTCTAAATTCAGGTGGGATATACTCAAGGTCGTATTTTGGCTCTTAGGAACTTGCTCTAATTTTCTTCAGCTTGAAACTTGAACTTGCATATGAGCAGTTGAGGGTCTGTTCCACATCGAGCCCCCGCCTTGTTCTGACTGATGATATTGAGCTTTTTCATTCTCTCTTTCCACAGATGTAGTTGATTTGGTTCCTGTGTATTCCATCTGGTGAGGTCCACATGTATAGTCACTGTTTATGTTGTTGAAAAAAGATATTCGTAATGCATAAGTTGTTGGTCTTAGAAAATTCTATCATACGATCTCCGGTGTTGTTTGTATCACCAAGGCCATATTTTCCAGCTACTGATCCTTCTTCGTTTCCAACTTTCACATTCCAATCACCAGTAATTATCAGTACATCTTGATTGCATGTTTGATTAACTTGAGACTGCAGAAGTTGGTAAAAATGTTCAATTTCCTCATCTTTGGCATTAGTGGTTGGTTCATAAATTTGAATAGTAGTCATTTAATTGGTCTTCCTTGTAGCCATATGGATATTATCCTATCACTAACAACATTGGACTTAAGGATAGATCTTGAAATGCTCTTTTTGATGATGAATACGATGCCATTCCTCCTCAATTTGTCATTCCTGGCATAGTATACC